TTTTTGTGACGGGTTACTCACTTGTGGGCGAGTTGTTGAAACATGCAATACGAACGCGCCGCGTCTGGGCTTGTGTGTGTTTGCTTCTGTCACACAGTCAGACTGGTAAGCTGTTAATATTACCGAAGAATTGTGTTCACCGATTCCAATGCAAGGGACTACAACCGGCAAAGACCTGTACGATGAACTAAAATCTGTGTTGGAAAATTTTTCAATTTCATTAGAAAAGATTATTGGTATATCGACAGATGGAGCACGAGCAATGTCAAGCATGGAGGATAATAGAAAAATAAAATGGGACTTAAAAATCCTTAAATCATATATTCACTATGGTTAACTTGATGTTTAATACGTACTTTTAGTTATTCATTTAGTTATTTTATTGTTTATTTATTATACAGCGGTTCTAGTAATTAGTCCAATTTTTTTTNTTAAACTCTTTACCCCAAATGAATTAAGTACTTTTACTTGAATAAATTTAAATTTTATAATTAACAAATGAGTATACAGATAATCATTTAGACCTGTTGCATATAGTTATTAATATTAAGATATTCTTTATTTTAATTTTTAAAATAATACTTCTATTACAGTTTATTATTAACAAACTGCTTATTATAATCAAAATGAATTTTTTATTTAGACGATCACTTAGCATATCGTCCATTAGAAGAAGTGTATTATCTATGGCAACTTGCTGGAGGTGATGTCGAAGCTGAATTTCGTAAGCAAGGATTAATTAAAGCAAAGCCACCTATATGTTCTTTACCAAAGTAAATAATCACTATATCAACAAAATGCATAATGTATATTATTTTAAGCAAAAATGCAATATTTTTTAGATTAGTCTTAGAAGAAGGAGAAGAATTTGGTCAAAAGAAAGATAGAGGAATGCTGCTAAATGACACATTCATTATACTACGATTAGATACATTACGACAGGTAATTAGATTATTCAGAAGAAATCTAAATTTTGAAGATTATAATTTTGTATGAATATTCAAAAGATCAAAATTTTGAATATTAGTTCAATATTTAAATTAAAAAAAAATGGAATATAACTTATACATTGCTAGTGAAATTAATATTTATTGTCTTGAGTTATATGCTTTTCCATAAGAGTGTAGATTTTAAGACATCGATAAGCATAATTGTTCTATATATTTGTTATAAAGAATTCATTAATAAACAGATTTCTTAAAAATTATAAATGAAGAAATCCATATATTTTGAACTAACTGAAGAGATAGATCACAAAAAATCACACGTTTAAACTCTAGCAATGAATTTAATAAAATAAGAATATTTTTAACCAGTTTCACTGACCTTCTTCAGCTACAATAGAACAAAAAATAGAACATGAATACAAAAATTTCAAAACAAGAATTCTAAAAATAAATAAATAAAGAAATGAAATAAAAATAAAAAGTAAAAATAAATGAATAAATATCTCATAATAAAATAAAATTAAATTTCATAAATGGACCACCATGCACTAGATCAGTGTTCCGCAACCTTTTTCTACTTGCGGCACACCCATGACTCAACACGGCACACCAAAATGTTATTCCCCTAATAAACATATGATATGATACTATTAATAGATTTACATAATGCCACTAATCTATTATTGTTGTTATTAAACAGATACCAACATTTGTGAGCAAATTTTCTTTTCATATAATTTATTACAATACATAAAAATGGGTGGCTTGTAATAAAGAATAAACAAACATCATCTTATTTCATCAGTGCTGCGGCAGAGAATGAAATACATAGAAAAGATAACATAAGAAACACAACAACATACATACATAAGAACATACAACATAAATACATAAGAAACACAACAACTGTGATAAAAATATATAAATAAAATTTGAAATTAACAGAATATGTAACAGTTCACATCACACCTTTCACCATGTGACGGCACATCAGTGTGCCGCGGCACACCGCTTGCGTAACACTGTGATAGATCACGTGCCAGTACTGTACAGTGAAATATCAAACTGCACATGCACTGGGCTTGAATACCATTTATACAGTCAGTCACACACACCAACCTCATGCAAAATATCTGACAGAACAGACTTTACTCAAGTCAAACCTTTGACTTGCACGAACTTCAGGTTTGTTTGTATCGTTCAAGTAAATCAGTGCGAGTTGAAGTGTATCTACTGTTTTTTTAATTACATAGGTGGTAATTATGCAAAATGTGACGAGTGACGGTGGTTACAGGACAATCTGGTGTGTAGAAGGGCACTTTTGACCGAACCAGTGCTAATGCCTATTTCCCCACTCCACACATAGTTGTGCACTTTGTTTCTAGATGTTGCTCACACCAAAGTACACAAGTGGAGGGCAACCCCCACTATATAACATCAAGTACTCAAGTGGCCTATTCAAAAGCCAGCACAGTCACACGGGTTAGATGGAAATGCTAATCTCATGAGGAAAAAAAACAAACAAAATGCCCTTCCCATCCCAAATTACCCCAGAATAACTACATTTTACCTATTACCCATAAGTAATTAAAAAAGATAGTATACATCCTCCCCTTAACTCGTACAAGTAAATCATTGCATGTAAATTTGATTATACAAGTCAATATATACAAATTGCATGAGCACATAAACCAACGTTTGTTATAAAGATCGTTAATTATGCTTAATAAAGTAGCACAGACAACACGTGTCATGTCAATTTCAACCATCAAAGCTGTAACTAATCTATTAATTAATTAACAAATATAAACGAACCATTAAAAATCCTGAAGGGACGGAAATTAAAAAACTTAAGTGTCACACTCATTACAATATCATATAAATGATAACAAATAACACGCCTATAACAGACACAAGTCTAGTGTCTAACTAGCGCCACCTGCTTTTTGAATTACAAAATATTAAGGTAATTTTAAAAATAAAAAGTCATTTTTTAATATTTTTTTTGTGTTTACAAATGTAAATTACCTTTTAACGTTATTACAAAATTTAAGAAATATAAATAACATAAATCGTCTGAAAATTTTAATAGAAAGTATTTAATTAATAAATTATGTAATCGTGATTAATAAATATGGAATCCGTTTAATCTTCTAACAGATTAACATAATTCTTCAAGGAGTTTGGTAATTTTAATTCTTCGATTCCCTCAGGAAGGAGCCATTTGGGTTTGAGAGATCCTCTGATAGCGCTTCGACACAAATGCTTCAGTTTTGTTGGAAAACTGAAATCAAATGCATTGGGATAAGGGTCATTTTCGTCACTTTCCGTATTGCTTCGGATAAAAGTCAGCAATTCTTCTTCGTTTTCAAATTGCATCCGTTCCCTTTTAGTAGCAGGAGGAAAAACTCTGGTTAGAATCCGTCCACAAGTGATACTCCTGTTCCAGAAATCCCACCAGATCAAATGCGGTTGAGCTTCCATCTGTTGATCGTCAAGCAGATTCCACAGTATTTCAAATAAACCTTTTAATAAATTGCAACAGGCTTGTTCTTCGGTGACGGTCTCCGTGCGTATCTTAACTGTGGCACCATATTGTAGCACCAACAGTAAATCGTCCACTCTCCATCTCCTGAAGAAATCCACGCAGAGTGAAGTGATTTCTCCGTGTTTTTCTTTAGTAAAGTCAGCCAATCTCATTCCGTTAAATGTCATTTTTGTATGGTTGCTATGTTTTAGAAAATAGGCTAGAGGACAATGTTTTCTGGCTTCGTAGTCTTTCCCGTGAGGCTTTAGCCAATGCCTGATTCGAAACAGAATTTGCCAACTGTCATCTTCGGCTATTTTACCTTGTATGACGTCTCTGAGATCTCCATCACAGTCGTGTAAATTTTGCAAAATTTCGCATACCAAAATGCTGTTGTTTAACCACCAATAATGGCAAAGTTTTAATAAATATCCGAGTATTCTTTTCTCAAAACATTTCTCTCTAGCATTCATTTCGCCGATGTCATTCTTCCAGGAATGATATAACTTGATCATTGTTCGCAGATGATTCAAATTGGAAGTGGAATTGATTACGCAAGTGTTTGTACTACGAATCAGTATCTCGTTTACAATACATTGCAGCATACGCTGTTCTATTTCCTTTGTTTTTTTATGTTCCCACATCTCTCTGATTTCATAATGCTGCTGTAGTAAAACCTCCCGAAGTTCTGAATGGATAGTTGAATTACACGTCATTAAGTCACTTAAATACGTAATTAATAAGTCTGTTAATTACAGCTACAATCTTGCGATAACTGTAATTGTAGAGTTCTTTTCTATAGTTGTGGATTTTATATTGTTTCCTAATTAATTTGTTACGAAAGAATTACAAATTACTATTTACTTTGGAACAATTGGAAGCGATTGTTTAAGCATTTACAAAAAAAACGGGCCTCTGAAATCGAATGTCTAGCTTATGTCTTTGAAAATTTCACTTCTTGTAACAGCGATGGCCGAGTGAATAAGACGTGAGCCTACACGATAACAGTCGACCCCCCTATAACACTGTTGATTTTTCCGTTTTATATGAGTTCCATGTTGTACGAATCACTTATATTTTACAAATACGTGTGCTGGGCTGTGAACGGCTCACATATTTGTAAAATCTAAGTGACTCATACAAAATGGAATTCATATAAAACGGAATTATCAACAGTGTTATAGGGTATAGAATAGAACCTTTGCAGTTTTATTATTATTATTTTCAGATATGGCGATACAATGTATTGTTATATCTGAAGGGTAGCAAATGAACGTTCGAGGAAATTGTCCATAACATTAACAATTAAAAAAAAACTGCAACGAGTTGCTTAATTTCACGGCAACATTTAAAATTTTGGTAGCGCCATCTGTTATAATATTTTATTGAAAAACTTTTTACATTTTTAACTATTATAAAATGGCACAAAGCTTAATTTCGAGAGTAGGGATGGGTTTTATAAAAAATTGTAAATATTAATAACGAGTAAATTCGTCAAGTCAGACCCTACTGGAGATACACACCACTGACTGGCTCCCTTTATCCACCCATCTATCTTTAATCACCAAAACTTACTACATTCTTCCTTATTCTTTAGCTTCTGGTCTTCCTCTTTGTCCCCTTCTCTGTCCAGGTAGGAGTTTTCCTCTTTCTTTCAGCCGGAGTGGCTTCTCCTCCGGACTCGGTAATGGCGTCGCAGTCGCGCGAGCGCCTTCAAAAGCCACCATCGGGATCGGAAGCACTCATTACTTCTGACGAATTAAGATTTATTTCTCCTCTGTCGGAATTGGAGAAACTCTTCTCCATCCGTTCGTCCCTTCCTTCGGACCAAATCTATACGATTTTTCTGGAAGGACAGGGACCTCTCCGACGTCTTCGTCCGGCTGAGCTCCATGCGGCCCTCAAACTGCATTTCCCCCGACCGGAATTGCTGCTAGATTGTCCGCTACTCCCGTAGTGGTCTTCTAATAATCAAAACTCGGGATCACCAAGCCGCAGAGGCGGCTCTTCGTATTCTCGATATTGCCGGGAGTCTCGTAAAAAACACTCGTAAAAAAAGGTTTTTCGTGGATTGTTATAAAAATATAAAGTTATGATTAAAAAATAAAGCTGAAGCATGCAATTACAAAAAATAATTCAATAATGAATTTTTTTTATATAACTAAAAGCAATTCATTGCACATTCTTGCATTATTATTCAATGTGTATTACCTATATTTCTATGTATAATGACTAAAAATTATCTTAAATTATTACCATAATGGGTTTATATTTTCAAATGGGACTTTCTTTTCTTCCATCCATGTCAGAAACTGATCATTTATTTTCTTTGCCATTTTTAACAGAGCCAAAGCGTCACCTTCGGCTGCATGTGAATCGGGTTGAGGACAATTAAAAAAATATTCGTACAGGCTGCTTAATTTGTAAGACATTTTTACCTTTGTTTTTGATGGAGTTTTTTTATCAACAGAAGTATTCTGTTTAACATCTGGATAATTAGTAAGTAGCTGTTTTCTGACTGAACGTTCTGTTTTACATAATTTCTGATCCTCCGAGATTTGTCGCATGTCTGCAGATTTTTTACATATTTCATTAGATGGAGTTCTTTTGAGAAAGTCTATATTATCTTTAACAATATTGTCATCTTTGTCATTGTTACATTTATTATCCAAATGTACATTTGTAAGAGCATCAGTAAGATATTCAATTTGATTTGATTCTTCATTCCTTGCTGAAGGAGATTCAATTTTAATGTGTATTTTAGAAAGAATGGACCTGAAGGCAGGTAAGGTGTCTGCACAAAACATGAATCCAGAAATATCCATTTCAGAATTGTTAAATTCTGCTCTTAAAAGAGGAAAATCAAATCTATTACCATTATGAGCTAAAATACAAATAGGTTTATTTAATCTTTTAAGGAATAATTTTATTAATTCAGCACTGTTTATAAATGTTTCTTGAAACTGAAGTAATGAATCGGTTAAACCTGAAATTATATAAAATGTAAGTGTTATAAATTCAATTACTCAAAACTGGAAATACGTTAATAAACACTGCACAAGTAACCAATATCCAGAAAGAAGAAATTACAAGAAAGCAAATGTTTTTCAGCCATGTTTAATGGGCATTGTCAGGCTAACTACTTGCATTCTTAGAATTTCTTCTTGCTGGATAATAGTTATTTGTGCAGTGTTTAGAAGTGTTATATTTACAAAATTTTTCAATATAATTATATAAAAATTTGGAAAATTTCTTTTAAACTCCAAAGCCTTCGGAGTTTAAAAGACATCTATGACACTAGCAGAAAGATATGAAATGATATTCTGCAAAAACATACAGGAAGCAGGATAATTTGGAAAGTTATCAAATATTAACAATTATGCTAAAAATCTAGTTGTAATCAATAAACTCAATTACAACTGGAGATTTTTAGTCTAATTAATGTGGTGATCGTTATAACTTACTAATGTACTGTACATGCTAATACGTTACCTGTCAATTTTTCAGCACCGGATGAAATATGGCAACGTGGTCTAAAGAAGAGGTTTAATTTATTAATGACACGAATGTTTTCATTATTGTTTTCAAATTCTCTTCTGTCAACAGCTAGAAGTGATAATTCTGTGATTTGTACATTTCTTTTGCCTATCAAATGTGAAAGTCCAGTAGTTTCAGTATCAAAAAATACCAGAGTCTGTATCTTCACGTCACCTGCTGAAGCCATCTTCGATACATATTCTNAGAAGTGATAATTCTGTGATTTGTACATTTCTTTTGCCTATCAAATGTGAAAGTCCAGTAGTTTCAGTATCAAAAAATACCAGAGTCTGTATCTTCATGTCACCTGCTGAAGCCATCTTCGATAAATATTCTTAACACACTGAAAAATATAAACTGTTTTAAATTTTATATACATGAAGATTATTTTTATTATTCAAGACAGCTATACAATGGGAAAGTCAAAGTTTAGAAAAATAATATTTAATCTGGATAAAAATTTTTAGTCATATACTAAATAATCATTTAAATGTAACTGTATTGAATACTAAATATTCTTGTTTTTCCTGTTTACCAAGTATCAGCTGATTTACTATATTTAAAACTGCATGAAACAAAAGGCTTAGAGCAGTGGTTATCATATGTTTTGTACTACCACCTGTTTTCATTGCATATATTTCATTAGAACTCCCATAAAATCAGTCACTTACACTGAAAATTAACATTAATAAAAACTTTATAAACAAACTCAAAGCCAGTAATTCTTGATTCTCAACTTTTCAAATCCTTTAAGAATCAGTCTTACACAAGATGAAATCAGCATCTTCTATTGAAAAAGAAAGATATATAGGTTTATATTTTTAAGAAATTACCAATGATGACCAATTGCTTACTTTCTAGGAATGCAAAAACATTACTATTGTATTGTACTACACTTTGTCACTTGAATTGCAATTAGTGGACTGCAATTTTTAGATTGCAGACCTATACATTCCCACTCAATCTAACCATCTTTCATTAATCTTGAGAACAGAGTTGGATTAACATCAAGACCAGATATGGAAAGCTTAGTATGACAAGCATATATGTATATTATTGAAAGCTTAGTAAGCAGATATGTTTATTATTGTGATACCAACACAATAATATACATCCAATTTTTAATAAATAGTATTTGCTCAAGATCATTTATTAAAAAGTTAAATTTGTTTTGGAAAAAAATAAATAACAATATTTTTAAGTATCTAAGTTTCTAAAATTCAACAGTATTATACAAATAAGACAAGCTATGCTCTGTAAAATATGTAATCTGGATATCATATACAGATGAACAGAATACTTTGCTCACTAAATGCTTCCTAGTTCTAGAGCACATTAAATTGCTGGGGTTGCTATTAAAATAATTGTTAATTATATGTATAACATATGAACATCATTACTGAATTTGGATTTATGTAGCAATATTTAATCTTTATCAGACCATCAGGAGTCAGAGAACACAAAAAAGACAGGCATTCAAACAAAGTTATGTTGGAATGTCTTTTTAATAGGCATTCCAACATAACTTTGTTAAGTATTTAGTGGAAGCCCTTACTTCCCAGTTCTCAAATTTTCTAAAAGGATTCATCCTATTGTATATGAACAAAAGTTAAAGGAGAAGCAAGTTTTTTTGACAAAATTTCTCCATCAACCAAGCCTTTCACCAATCACAACAACCATCAGTACAAAGGAAAGCAGATATAAATAAAAGGCCAGAAGACCTCCACAGACACTTGGTTAGTTACTATAGTTTAACTTTAATTGAAACAATCAAATCAATTCTTGCCAATTTATTACACTTATAATGCAAATATTCCTGTATATTTCTTTCATCAAATAGACATCTCGCAACAAGTATACTAATAAATACTTTATTAAGATGGACACAGACATAAAATTATCACTTTCTCTCGTGTCAGACTGTGCCACATAATGTCAATCACAGTATAAAATATCACGAAATCTAACGGCGACCAATGTAACTTACACATTTGAAATCTATTTAAATCATATAGTACACACGTCTTGCACGATTACGACTTACCAATTAAAAATACAATCAATTCAAAAACTTAAGTAATTACACGTTGTACGACACTACCATCATTTCGACGCCATGTTAGAGAGGAAGTTGTACTACCGGATCCCCAATATATCCGATCACACACAACTGATATTACGTTGTCATTACTTTCTACGATTGTTGGGAATTATTGTAAACGTAATGTACAGTACATTCTCTTAACGTAGGCAAACAGAAATTTTAGAGTCAACGCACGTTGTAAGTAGTCGCGCTCCCGTTTCAAACATGGCGTCCAAATGATGGTATCATTTGTTTAACATACACATCGTTTTCAGTTATAAAAAACATAAAAGTATTCAAAACAAAACAATTTATATATATTAGGTTACCTTAGGTTCAAATCAGATACAATTTCTTATCACATATTTGAGGCTAAACGTCACACACTTACTTTGTGTACTGTACAGTACGTCACGTGAAACGCGCATATACTAAAACAGCTGGAACAAAGCCGGGAATAAAATATTGGACCGAAACCAAAACCAAAAGTTTCCAGTGTTCCCAGCTTTACAGTTAATGGTCAAAACAATTTCTTTTGTTATGCTCAAAATTAAATACGAAGAATACACGTGATAACCGTGAATTATTTATAATATAGGCTCACAATAGAAATTAAAAATACGTTTTGCAAGGAAATATGAAATAATAAAAATTGCGCCGCATTTCTTCTTTTTTTTGTGTATTTTTTTCAGTAATAGAGAGGTTGCGGCCGAAGTTTTCATTTCTCAAACGTGAACGTCGAACGTCAAGCGCCGCTATCTTGTAAGCGGCGCTTGACGTTCGACGTTCACGTTTTA